CACATAATAACTCTAAGGTGAGTGTTTGCTCATGGAATCTTGTTTTTCGGATGCACTAGTTCTCTTAATTTATTTTGATGTCTAATCATGTATTAAAGTTGTGTGTGCTCATTCGATCTGATCTTTTCCGATAAACCACTGACATACAGAATCATGACAAAGCCCCTTTTGGATTTCTCTTTGGTACTTCACATGTGTTGTCTTTCTGTCTTCATGGTCCAAGAAATGTATGATTCCACTTGGAATATATCCATTAGACAGGTTAATTTGTTGAGAGGTTTGCAATTAAAACTTGGGTTTTGCAATTAATAATTGACATTACTTCGCAAAAAACTAAGCAGCTTGTGTTAGAAATTTGTCGGCCATTTCGAAATTCAAAATGGCCACCATTCTTGATCCATGTGTATATCACCATTCGACAGCTTGACATTGAAAACACAGGGTTTGGCTACCTAAATCATGTTGACCTGCTCTAATGGCACAGTTGTGTTTTTTTATTACTGTGAAAATGGCAGCCATTTTGGAATTCAAGATGGCCGCCATTTATGTATTTGTGAGAATATGACCATTAGACACGTTGACATCGAAAATCTATGGTTTGCTACCAAAATCAAGTTGATACCTGCTCTAATAGCAGTTATTGCTATTTTACTTTCAAACTGGCAGCCATTTTGAAATTCAAGATGGCTGCCATTTATGGTTTGTGAGAATATCACCATTGGACAGGTTAACATTGAGAATATAGGGTTTGGTACCAAAATCTTGTCGATACCTACTCTAATAGCGCAGTTATGGTTACTTTTACTGTATAAATGGCGGGCATTTTGAAATTCCAAAATGGCCGCCAAGACAATCTCGGAAAAAATGGACCCTTGCATTTTTGGATTCAGCATACCCAAAATATCCGGAAAATGCAATAAAATTGCTTTGGGCACGCCTATCTCGCAAACCTGTTTTTTTGGACATTAGGTTTCTCACTATTAAGTGTTGCAGTGGTACCTTTCGCTTTCAGTTTGAAGTTAACATCTTTCCATTTATTTCTGAGGAATAATGGCAGAATATGTACAATTTTGGACAATCCATCCATAGTGTCTAGTTCGGCTAGTTTCCCCAACGCTTCCAGAGTGCCATAGCAATTGCCCAGATCATCTGTAAAGTCGCTGAGGGAGTCGATGGTGACTGCATCTCTCTTCAATATTTTGTCACTCCAGGATTTAGTGATTATATCAGCATCTCCAAACTTTTCTTTCAACTTCTTGAGAGCTGCTTGGTACCCTTCTGTGGCTGGCTTCAGTACGCAGTACTGAATAGCGGAATAGGCTATTCCCTCACAGAGGGAAAGTAAATGCTGTAGTTTAACGCCATCATCAGGTACCTGTGAAACTGTACTATGGAATGAAGTGATGAAGGCATGGTAGCGTAATGGGTCACCACGAAACTTCTTCGGCTGGCTTCGAGGTAAGGCGATTGCTCGCAATAGGCCTTCCCAATTAAA